ATAAATATATAAAATAAATATCATATACATTTTATAAATAGTTTTGTCCTTCTGCACAGTATCCATGCTTACATCTGAATAATGTTCCTCGCCCCATTCCCACCCCAACAGCAGGAAAAACCCCCACGCATCAGGACCAGTCCACGTAGCATCATCCATGTAGCAAACTCCCAGGCTGCTTAAGCAGGGTACCATTCGAAAGGCTTTTTCTTAGCAGGTAACCATCCCGAGCTTAGCAGCAGCATCTGCAGTGGTTCTGTGGTCTTTTGTTTTCTTTCCTTCTCTTCATTTTTAGTTTGCTGTTTTTTGGTTTTTTTCCCCATCCTGGGGATCAGGTTTGCTCGCCTGCTTCTTCCTTTAAGCAACCATAACATTGAATATTTGGCCTCTCTTGTACCAACCGGGTAAAGAAAGTGAATGAAACTGGAAGATTATATGTAGGGTTCCCTCCCTTCCCCTTCCCCCCGCCCCCATAAATAACCCAGGTTCCATATACGCTTGAAACAAGGAGGAACAGCAGTGTCTGAATTCAATGTAAGTGCTTTCCTATGTCATCTACGCTTACAGGAATGATGGAATGACTATTAATATAGTGCTCTGGGAAAAAGCTTGGGAGCCCAAGTATGTACACTGACGGGGCAGCTGCAGGAAACATCACCTGTAGTGGAAGAGGTCTCTGTACATCGCAGGTATTTTGGCAGGGTCCACAGGCCTGGGTAAAAAATGAGTGAATTTCTGATGTCTCTTAGTCCTGTACCCCTCTCGGGGGGAGCCGTCCTTGTTCAGAGCCACGTAGTAATGCCTCTCCGAGTCGGGATGCTTGTAGAGGGTGGAGGCGTACGTGTTGTACCAGTTCTCTTCAAACTGCTCTCGGAAAACGCACTCCCGTGTGAGCTTCTTCTGCGTTGGGGCAGAGGCAGGAGGGGAAGAAAAAGACATTTGTGTCAAAAATTAAAAAAAAAAAAAGAAAAAGAAAAAGAAAAATTTTCTTCCTTCCTTCACTTTCTTTTCCTATAATTTTCCCAGCTACCTTCTCCTGGCTCCCCTGAGGACAGGGACTGCGCTGCCGGGGACATTTCCCCTGGGTCAGAGCTGCAAATGGGCACCCAAAGCCAGGACCCAAAAACCTCTGAAGCTGGAGGAGGAGGAGAAGGTGGGTGTGCATTTTGCAAAGCTGCCCCATCAAAAAAATAAAACAGGGCCAAAGCAAAACTCTGACCGGCAGGTCTCTGCGATCGGGGTGTGAGTTTTGACCTTGCTGGGGTGGCC